ATTTAATCACACGTGCTCTTAGGAATGTTTACACCTCCATGTCATCATGTTGCATCCACGCTGATTCAGCCTTTATCCACCATTGCAGCTTCATAATACTACAAACACTGTTAACCACACACATTTGCTCTCTTACTCATAAGACTGCCCTCACTTTCACTCCATTCCTTTATTTCACAACCATTTCCTGTTCATTAAACACATAAACCTTTGTATAAAAACATTAAACAGAACTAATGATTGACCAAGAGCACACCCAACTTAAATCCTAGATGCCGTGTGAACTGTGACAAGGCAAACAATACAAAGAAAGGAACAGGCTTTTGTCTGCACAATGCTTCTCCCTCCATCTAACGCCCACCTTACCGTTTGGCTTCTTCTAGGTGACACAGGTACTCGTAGGCGATGTTCTGCCGCCTCCTCTCATCCATCTCTTCTGCTGACAACCTCTCATCATCCTGAATGGCTGGAAAAAACAAAAACAAAAAACACTTATGATTATATCACTGTCATCGTTTTTCATTATGCAACATACTCCATAGTGTGTTGGCCATTCTTATTGTTCTTAATTACAGTTGAAAAGGGTTGTTTCATAAAGCTGCACAAGAACAGGTCAAGCTAATACTTAACTATAGCTCGGGCCTCCTTAGGAGCTGTGTCACTGGTATTTTTTTAGCTCTAACCAACACCAAGATCATCATGTGTGCTTCATACTCAATACAGGAAGTTGTCACAAGCATGACAACATTTTTGCATACACAAGGTTATTTTAAACACGGCACAGCAAAAGTTGCACTCGCAACCGTGACACACATCGGGAGGGTCTTCACAGTCTCCCTCCAGGTTGTAAAGAATCAGTACCATAGAAAGCGGTCTCCTCGAGGATGGTGTTTTATTACACTAACATTGAAGGTATAGGTTAAAACGTATGTAAAATGTATGTATGTAAAATGTATGTTTGCTGATACCAAACATACATAAAAATAAGTCTTTTTTTAATTACTATGAGCTGATGTGTTTAAAAACTCCACTTCATGCTTCAGTGAACCCTGCCGTGAGAGATGAAATAGTCTTTTTATTTTATGGTTTTTAAACTGGCTTTGGCGGGGTGCCGATCTGACAAGTGACTTCTGCTGAGAGTTGACCTTCACCTGCAGCTTAACGAGACCCCACCCCACGCCGTACTCCCTAACCAGCTCTAATCCGATCAAATCTATTTATTTCTGGCTGAGTAAAAGGGAAAATCTCAAGCTCAGGGGCTCCTTTTACGAACAGATCTTTCCCTTTTCATTTAAATACAGGCTAGCAGCTGATGGTACACGTGGACAGGCACAGTTTTTACTCGCAGGTTTCTGCGAGTGTAAAATAAAGCCGGGTGCCCTGCAGATGTAAGCCTCTAGGAACTGTTTAACATGACTCTTTTTTAAAAGATGGTTTTGCCATAATCTGCAACCACTAAGTTACCTATAAGATGGGAAATAAGAAATAACAGAAAATGACAACATCCGCCAGTGT